GCGAGGAAGATGCGCGGCCTTTAGACAGGCTGCGTGCCCTTCGGCCCCAGCCACGAGTGCGTTTCGCTTTTTAATAGGGGAAAAAAAACTTTATAGGGCGTCACTTGAAAGGAGACGGGGGGAGGGGGAAGCTTCAATGTTGTCTAGCACGTTGAATTTGTTTAAGGGCCAAGTTTATTTTGGATAAGAAATTCCAGGAGGCGTGGAGGGTTAATTAAAGCACAGTTTTAGCCTGAATTAAATACAGATAGTAGTTATTCATCCATTAAAGTTTTTATAATCGCAAATTGCAGCCCAGCATGGGAGAATTATATATAGGCCACGCAGGGAACACTGGATGCGTCTGGTTTTACATTTCCTACAGTAGGTGTTTAAAGATTAGCTTAATTTAACTCGGTAAAATGTTGATGGTTCGTCTGTGACTCCCAATAATAAGTGTTAAACAGCCGATAGAATTCCGTAGTCTGCCATTCATGCTGTTGGCGGGAAGTGACCGTGTTGCCTGTTGCGCATATGGCGGGACCGGTCAATGTGTCCCCGCGCGGGGTTTCACGCCGTCGGGCTGGCACCGGAGCAAGGGATCTCGGCCTCGCCGCCAAACGGCTCGCCGCTTCGGAAAGATCTGCTCTCCCGGCCTCCCCCCATCCTCCCCCTGCCCCGTTAAGGCCCTCAGCGCTGCTGGCGCCAGGCTCTTTTTTAATTCCACAAAGGAACAGAAAAAGAAAATTGGAAGTTTGAACCTCATTCTCAAATCTTGATGCACAAGTAATCTATATCCCCATCAAAACAAATCCTGCCTGCTGCTGTCCTTCACTTAAAAGTTTCTCGCTCTTTCCCCAAGACAAACATCTGGACTGCAAAGCAAAAAGGTGTGAGAAGAACTGGGTACAATGGGAGAGGAAAAGATGCTATGGCAAATTAGGGGAGGCAGGCAATCTAAATGTGACCACATTTGTAGCATTGTGCACAGTTAAAATCAGTAGGCGTTCAGTGCAGTGTCTGAGCCTGGAAGCCCTAATTCCATGAGAACAGGAAGGAGGATCAGGTCTGTTCTGTGTCCCAACAAGGTCAATATTCCATTAACTCACAGAAACAAGTGATGGTGATATTATAATTACTCATAGTGAACAGGAGACCAGTTCTGTTCCGATTAAATGCAAGGT